CTATCTTAGTTTGAGTATAATTGCTAAACAGTCTTGTAGTCTGGGTAGCTTGTGTTGTGACAAAGCATATTGCTAATGGAAGTGTAACATTGATACATACGCTGCCTTAAGACTGGATTAAAACCCGGATTCTACTTCATAGAAGACAGAACAATCATTCATTCATTCATGCATACTATTTTTTCTCCCCTGTAGGTAGCCAGTCTAAGTCTATAATGAAATAGGTTTTCTGTTGATTCCAGAGCATGAGAACAGATTCTCTTTTAGTTTTGTTCTTTCTATGAGAGAAAATATGAATAAGACTCCTAAGAGAAATATCATTTCCATAAACAACATGTCTATATTTTTTCACCTTTTGGGATTCCCTAGGGTCAAGGGATTGGAGGGCTCATTGGAAAGAATAGTATTCCTTCCTGAAGAGGCTTCAAATAACATCAGCAGATCGTTTTTTGCCATGTGCTAGTTTAGCAACAGAGCAGTATCTCATTAAGAAGAATGCCTGAGAGTATTTTTGTTGGCAGGATAAATTTCCACCCTTATTTCAAGGACATCAAATCCCAGTGGATATCTACTAATTTGGAATAAATTCACTGATTCATCCATTTTTTAAAAAAATAACTTTTTTTTTTTTTTTAATCCAACCGTCCATTCAATGTCTACCAAGTGTTGTTTAGGTATCAGGTACTGTGTCCAATGCCACAATATAATATAACACTCAGTTCCCATGTGAAGGACTTTCAGCCTAGGGGAGACAGACATTCAAAGCAACAATTACAATATGGTAAGATATGTGCCGTTATGCAGGCGTTATTGCTTCCAGGACAGTATGACTTTGCCAGGCCTTCAAGTTTCACATTAGCTAGGTTCTAGCTCCAGGATGCCTAGGTTTAAATTCTATCCCTACTACATGGTGATTGTGTGGCCATTGACAAATTAGGTGACCAGTCTGTGTCTCGATTCCATTATTTGTGAAATAGAGATAATAATTGCACCAGTTGCATAAGGCTGATACCAAGATCAAATAAATTAAGATATGTAAAGCACTAGAAGTAGCAATATTTACATATATTATGTAAATGTTAATTATAATGATCATCCCTCATTTTCAAAAGGAACTTAGCATTCCATTAGACCAGTAGTTTCCAAAGATAATCCATTGTGAGCAGGAAGAAAATACTAGACATAGAATTCTATTTTTTTTCTTTTTTTTCAGTTTCTGTTTTTGTGTGCCCTATAATGTATCTAATAAATTAGTAGAGACATATACATATATAGTTTGTTAATGAGCGAACGGTATGTAGATATTGGGTTAAGTGTTAATTTATTTTTTTAATTGGATAGGGTATTGGATATTGAAACAAGAACTTAAAGATAATTATATTACAGAAGTATAAAGGAATTTTAAAAAGTTTATGGAAAATGGAATTAAAGTATAAATTTATTTTGGTGCAAAAAATTTTTGGAATTCATGCATAGATTTAAAAATATGCATTTTTCATAAATTTTTTGAAGACCCCATTGTATATAACATCCCTGTCCACAGAAGGGACTTGTAATTTATAATTTATAAAACTTTACGTATATTATTCTGGTCTAGTCTGATGGTGCTACAGTCTGTATACTGGACTGCAGTGCTGAAAGCCACGTGCTGACTATGAGTTTGGATCTCCAGGTTGACCTAAAAGTGTGTTGGGCACAAGTGGGTGCATCCAAGGTCCTGAAGACCTAGAGGGCTGGGAAAAGGGAATTGTGGCTTGATGAGCCCTGTTGAAGGTACTCTTCTCTTTCTCTCTCATTCTCTTGCTCTCACTTATCACAATCCCTTCTCCATTTCTTCTGTCAGGATTTTGGGCATACGTGCACATACACCTGGCATGTTTTTTAAGCTGGGTCAGGGACTCAAACTGTGCTGTCAGCCATGAAGGAGTTTAACTGCCTTAATTACCATACCACCAGTTGACCTGCTATGTACTTTTCATCTGCTTCTGATTTTCACCATATCCAAATGAACAGAACTGAATGGTGAGGATATAAGCTTTTGCGAGTCAATGACATGAAAGCTGGTCCTACCTTACTCTTGATGAAGCATTTGATATGCTTTACTGGGTGTTGGAGAAGTTGACTCAGGTTTTGCAACCTATTTTTCTCATCATATACGCTTGGCTATCGCATAGCAGCGAGATACAGAGTATAAAACCATTGGAGTGCAAGTTGAACAGATTATTGGCCAACATTTTTTCCCAGGCAATGACTAATGAATGATCTTTTTTTGGTATTTATTCTCCTGAAACTTTCAAAATCTTAAGAGACGAGCATACAAAAACATTTACATAGAAAGCAATCTGGTCTATCCCATCTACATGATTCATTTTCGGATTTTCTTGTGTAAGATAAGCTGAAGATGCTAACAAAACAGCAGCTGCTTAGCTATAAATTAGTAAAACAAATTTCTTATGCAAGATTATTACTGAAGGCTTAATTTAAAGCAATTTACAAATTCATGAAAGATTTTTACTTAACACATTCACGCTTGATATAGCTTTGAAGCCATTTAGGGGAGCCCTGGGATTTAGATGGGAACTCCTCCCTCTCCCCTTGTTGAGAATTTGTAGATAAATTTACATAAACAAAAAGGAAAAGCATGTTTTCTAGAAATTCCATAACCTCACTCTGTATTTAATTGGTGTTCTGTAAGAATCTGCTCATTACAAAGCAAATAGTATAAGCTCAAAGAGAGTTATCATCAACTTTTCTGTGGCTAGAAAAAAATTACACAGAGGAGTGGTGATAATTAGCAGGAACTTGTGTAGGGGGATACAATTATTAGCTTTTGAAATTCTATTTTTGTCTTTTAAAAAATGCCTATTCCTTTACTGAAGTTTGTTAAAAAAAAATTGAGTCATTTTCTTCCTTGATTTTGTTTTATTCTTCTTGATTTTTAAGAGAAAAAAATTCAAAGGAATTGACTTAACGTTGAGTCTATTGTGCATTGGGAGCTGACTCAGGCCTGGTTTTGGCAAGGGATTATTACCTCCTTCTTCCTCAGTTTCCCCATGCACAAAACATGGATATTGGTCCCTGCCTCACAGCCTTGCTGTATAAACTCACTAGCTAATGTTGGGGAAGTTTTTCAAAAGATGTAATAATGAACTGGTTAGCATTACTTGTGATATCTTTTTTTTTTTTTTTTGAGAGGTTTTCGCCTTAGGGCACATTGATATTGGTATTCTGTTTCTTCTCTATCTTTTCTTTAATTAATATACTTAGTGTATAAGATATTTTATTAATATTTTCAAGGAACCAACTTCTGGTTCATCTTTTTTTTTTTTTTTTGAGAGGTTTTCGCTATAGGGCACATGCGCTCGTCAGAAAGACAGAGAGAGAGACATAGAGACAGAAAGCGAGAAATCACCCCCCAGGGGGGATGGTCACGCCGCAATCCCTTCTCCTCCATTCTCCTCTCGGGATCTTGGCACATGCACACATGCCCGGCGTGAGTTTTAAGCCACCGGGTCCGGGATGCGAACCGCGGTTGACTACGTGGGAGTCCAGTGACATAGCCATTACACTAACTGCTGGTTCCCTACTTGTGATATCTTATTTACATAATTTAAGACACACTACATTTCAAATTTCTAAATGAATAAACCTCAAGTTTCTCTTTCAACTGTGTACGTGTGTATGGATAAATATGATTTGATCTTTTAAAAACAGTAAATATTGTGAAGTGAGGGTTAATTTGTTAATGAAGTATGCCTTACCTTGTGCTTTTAATTGACAGATTATTTAGAGGAGGCCTAGGGATTAGATGGAAACTCTAATATACATAATATGTTATATGTGTTTTATTAGAATATGTATATATTTTATATACTCTAATATATACTATGTTCATAGTAATCACTTGTAAATGAGGACTATGTTGGCTTATTATCTTTTTTAAATTTATCAAAGATGCAGATTTTTCCTTTTCTCAAACAAAACAAAAAGTACTGATAGCATAAATTCGAAATGCTGCTTTCCACATGTGAGTACTTGCTTTGATACTTCTAAATTTAGTGAATTTCATCCTTTTAATCTGTAGAATTTTTTTTAAAAGAATTCTAGAGTCACAAAACACACCAAGTGTACTGCATTATCAATGAATCAATATACATTCATTGGGCATCTTCTATGAACTAGCCTTTGTGTAAGTGATATGGATTGGTGATTCTCAAAGTGTGGCCTGAGGATCAGCAATATCAGCATCATTTGTAAACTTGTTGGGAGGTAAACTGGGGGAACCTCACCCAGAAGTCATGAGACAGGGACCCAGTACTCTGTGTTGTAACAAATGCTTAGTTAAATTATAAGAACTGCTGCTCTGGCGGCTACAGTGTTGGTTGAATAGACTATAACCTGTAAATTGTCCATGCTTCTGCTGGTTGCTAACCAGTGTCATCTGTCAGCGTTCCTCTTTCATGTAAGTGCATCTTTCTTTCAATTATGTACTTGGGCTTTGGAGGGTTTTTTAAGAATCTTTTTTAAAAAAAATTACTTCCTTTATTTATCAGTATAGTTATTTTCAGTTTGATCAGAGTAGAGCACACACACACACACACACACACACACACACACACACAGAGAGAGAGAGCGAGAAGGAGAGAGAGCAAGAGAGCACACTGCCAGGTCCAGGACTCAAACCATGGTCAAGCCATGTGGGAGTCTAACACCTTTAACCACCATACCACCTGCTAGCCCCTTCTTTAAGAAACTTATTACTCCATTACTTTGCTTTTTTATGCTTCCATTCTACAAGCAGGGGTAAGCATGGAAGTTGTCTCCGGAGTGGGAGGTCCTCTCACCTGAATTCAATTTTTCTTGGATTCGCAATCAGTGCCAAGCTGTACGGACTGAAATAGGGCCCACACCTGGGCAGAGGGCTATTTAAAGACAGAGAAGGCGACAGTTCAGCATCTAGAGCATAATGGAGGGTGCTGGTGGTAGGAGGGGCCATTCTTGGCTTATTCCTGGGCTTTTGGTTCTTGGTCTTTGGTGGATGCACTTTAGCTGGGTAGAGCCATTGGACTGTCCTGGCCGGATAGTGCCTTCCCAAGTGAGTGAGATCTTTTCTACCAGGCAACGTGGCTTTACGCTCACATCCAAAAGTAAGTTGCTGGAGCTCTGGTCTCTGCTCAGGAATGATCCTTCAGTGTATTAGGAGACATGACAGGGCAAGTATCTTGTCCTCGGTCTTGGTGTCTGGGATGACTTCAGCTGTAGGGCTGTCGTTTTCTGATTTAATTTCAATGGTGGAGATGAGGGGAGTAAAGGAAGCACAATCTATTCCTGGCTGTTGTGACCTCAAGAGTTAGCTTTGTGGTATGTGTGAGTACACATGTGCAAGCATAATTTGGGTCTAAATCTTTGACCTATCTTGCAGGGCTGGGAATTAACCTGAAAGGGAGGTGGTAAGTGAGTAAGCTTCCTCTGTGGGGCATTGTGGGATAGCAGCTTCCCGTCTTCTTTCCTTACAGGTTCCCAGTTCCTACATAGTTACTGGCTTCTCCATTTTGAGGCAGTTCCCTTCTTGGGAATTCCTTTGATACAGCTCTGGGCCTGGGTGCCCATTGCTCCACATGCCACGGAGCTTGTTCTAGAATTCAAGGACCAACGACGAGGCCCCAACAGGTTTCTTCTGGGCTCTTTTCCCATTATTTTTTCAATCTATCAGTCAGAGAGAGGATCATTACTGGATATCTACTGCTTACTAACTTATTGGATGGAGGTGGTGCCCACCCTTATGACAGAGGAGAAGATTCCACCCACCAACGTGGCTGAGGCCAGCCTGAATGAGTGCTTCAGTGCCGAAGGCAGGCGGGACGCAGTGCTGCTGCTGCTGTTCATGCCTTCCCTCCACAGCCAGCCGCCCCTGTTTCACCTGCCGTATGTCCAGGAGCCCTTTAGTCCTAATGTAGAGCAGCTGATCCTGGGGATCCGTGGCCAGAATCACCAGGAGCCAGACCGAGGCCAAGCTCCTGTTCCAGCAGAGAGGCTCTGTCGCTTGCAGGAGCGCAAGGTGAACCTTCACAGAGCAGCCTGGGGCGAGTGTATTGTGGCACCCAAGACTTTCAGCTTCCCTTCCTGTCAGGGGACCTGCCTAGCTCTCAACAGTGAACTCCCTCAGTCCAATTTTGAGTGCTATAAGGTAAGAAGTTCTTTTGTGTTATATTGAAATAGCACTGAGTACTTAGCTCTCTGGGTCTAAGTCCATTTAAGCTAAAGACTCATCAAAGATGGCACTAATGTAATCTTGCACCAATGTGGTATGCCACATCTCCTCCCATTTTGGCCTTTCCCCTTACCTTCTTTGTTCATAAGAATCAACTTCAGTTTCCTGAAGACTGTTCTGAAGCAGCCTTGGTCAAGGAGCTTCTCCTCATGCCCTCCTTTTTCCTTTCCCACTTATCCCTGTGGCCTACTCCTACCCTTAAGGGTGGGGCTGTGGCTGTCATAGCATTCATTCTCCTGTCCTTTGCTCCTACAGAGGGAGGCGCCGACCTGTTCCTGGCTCTTCCAGGTCTGTGGTCCCACCAGGGCCAAGCTGTTCTCCTTGATGGTGCAGGATGATGAGTACAAGATGAGCGTGCACTACATGAACACATCACTGACAGAAGCATGCGGCTGCTCTTGAAAAACCTGGGAGCCTCCTTTTTGGCCCCACCTGTAATCCTTGGGATGCTAGTGAGGGGATGGGATCAGTTCTCATGGCAGCTAGAGCTCTTTGAAGGGGGTTGGGTTTTGACTTCTACTTTCTCAAAGCACAAGTAAGGATGGAGCAATGGGAGTAACCCCTTCTTGTATGCTTCTCCATGATGTGAAAATAAAGTCCTCTAATGTTCTCAGTCACTCTCATCACCGGGGTTGGGGTCCACTGAATGCCCAGATGTCTGAATATTGCTGTGTCCTAGATCATGTGAGTAACCCAGGCTTAGAGGGACTGAATGGGAACATGCTAGCTCTTGGTGTTGGGGTGAGATTGTTACTGGTGTTAAACAGAATTCTGCTTTGGACCCTTCTAAATTATTGTCCTTCTCTGTACTGCAGGCTTGGGTGTTGGACTGTTAATTCCTCCTTGTCTAGGCTTCTAGGTCTCTTTGGAGTGAGGTCTCTGTCCAAGGGAGTATGATGTCACAGGCTAGTCATGGATTCAGGGCACCAAAACCTTCTTACTGAGGGGAAGGTGTCAGATGAGATCCAGGGAGCTGCTTAGAGTAGAGGATATCATTGGACACTGATCCTTGATCAAGGGGCCTTTGGCCTCATGGAAAGGTTAAGTCTCACTGTCATTTGAAGAATTTTCTGTTAATGACTTTAACATAATGGTATTTTTTACAACCTTCAATAAAATCTAATTACAGTGCCATTGTTGTGGGTCTTTAATGTTGGCATCCATCTTTTAATGTCCTTGAGTCTTTGAATCAGAATGAGTTAATATTTGTTGAATTTCAAATATTATTTTCAAAGGTCACAGAAAAGAGATTCAACTTGAATGCCCTTTTATCTTTAAATTTAAATTTTTTCTTTTAATAATTATTTAATTTTATTCATTCATTTATTTTAATTTGACCAGAGATACACACACACACACACACACACACACACACACACACACACACGGGGGGTGGGGGGGAGTGAGAAAGCAAGTCACAAGGTCCGGTATTCGAACCGCTGTCGGCCATGTGGGAGTGTCCAACGCCTTAACCACTATGCCACCTGCTGATCCCCAATTTTTTTTCTTCTTTTTTTTTTTTTTTTTTTTTTTTTGAGAGGTTTTCACTATAGGGCGCGTGCGCTCGC